CTCACTGGTAAAGTGTGTGCTTAGCATGCGTGAGGACCTGGGTTTGAACCCCAGCACCGCACTAAAAAAGACTCAGAACTCACCCCTTGCTAATGGTTTTACCCTGCTTGAGCGTGTCTGCCAGCTGGGTCTGTGGTAAGACTCTCTCCGTGCCACCCCCTCATCCCTGGTTCACATTCGGCAGTTTCACTTCCCCGCAGTCAACTAATTGCAGTCTGAAAATATTAAGTGGGAAACTCCAGAAATGAGTAATTCCTAAGTTTTAAATCATACTCTCTTTTTTTTTCTTTTTGACAGTACTGGGCTTGAACTCAGAGCCTCGTGCTTGCGCTTGTCAGGCATTCACTCTACTACTTGAGCCATGCTCCCAGCCCTTTCTGCTTTTAGTTATTTTTCAGATAGGATCTTACCATATTTTACCTGGGCCAGCTTCGGCCCTCTATCCTCCTATCTCCACTTCCCTAAAAGCTGGGATTATAGATGTGAGCCACTGCACCTGGCCTAAATCATGCACCATTCTGAGAAGCAGAATGCAGTCCCACTCTGTCCTGCCTGGGACATAAATCATCCCTTGGTCCAGCACATCTCTGCTGGGCTTTACCCGAGAGTCACTTGGTAGCTGTCTTAGTTATCACATTGACTGTCATACGATCACAGTGATTTCCAATTTTACTTATTAATGTCCCCAAAGAGCAAAAATGGTGCTGCAAAGGAGACACCAGGGTTAAAGGTGGAAAGACAGCTTGACTCTGGTGCTGGGTGGTGACCCTGCAGGCATATAGGAGAGCCATGTTTACTGCATAGGTGGACGGTCTCAGGCGTCCACCGCAGGCTTGGAATGTCTCCGAGGGATAAGGAGGACCACCGTGTGATGGTGGCTGCCGGGTATCTTCCAGCTCTGTGTTCAGTGACAGTATGCTGGCACTTAAAACTGCCACGGCAGGAGATTTCACACCATGGAAGTGGGCAAATGCCTACTTCTCTCAAGTTCAGGTATCTCTGTCCCTTGGGCTGCTGTTTCAAAATAACTTAGACCAGGTTAGCATAGCAATGTGCTTCTCACAGCTCTGGAGACAGGGAAGTCCAAGTTCAAGATCGCAGCAGGTGGGGGTCTGCCAAGTGCCATTCCGTGTTTCATAGATGGTTCCTGTATGTAGGGCCGGGCGTGGACAAAGTGGGAAAGGCAAGGCGGCCCTCAGGACTCATGACCTAATCACTTCTCGAAGGCCCCACCTCTTAATACCGGGTGTCGGTAGTGTTTCGGAAGACACAGGCAGACCACAGCACCGGGCAATCCTTTCCCTCTTGCTAGACATCTTCCAACATAACCAAGGGAGGCTTGAGGGTTCTGTGGACTGTGGGAGGGGCTTCCTGCAGGGCCGAGACCCCAGCCCAGGTCTGAGGAATGAGTAGGAGTGGCCTGGGCAATGGGGAGGACTGGCATTCTGAGCACTGGGGGGAAGGGCCCTGGGCCAGCTCACTCCCATTTCATAGATGTCACAGCTGAGGTCAGGTCATTGGCACAGCTGGACAGGGATGGAGTGAGGACCAGCACCCTGGTGTGCCTGAACTGTGTGCCTGGGGGCTTTACATGGCGCTGTCCTGCAGGGTGCCAATGGAGAAGGGCAGACAGCCCATGAGGTGCCTCCATGCTGCAAAGATGGCCTCCTCACCAGGGACGCTCTAGGGAGACTGGTGACCCCAGAATGAGGGTGTCCCGGAATGAGGCTGGCCTACCCCTCTACCAAGGCCCCCACCTGGGCTTCCTTCCTATGTTCCAGAAGGAATTTGATGTATTTGACCTTGGCAGGCACCTGAGGGAAGCCAGAGGAGTGGCCAGGGGAGATCAGATAGCTGCCCCAGCCTCTGGGTCAGCTGCACCCCATATCCTGCCTACTGTGAAGGGCGGGTAGGGTTTTGACCTGTCTCCCTGACGCTGTGGCAGCCACAGGCAGGACCTGAGCCCCTCCTTACCAGGAGGCAAGAACAGATCCCCTGCCAGGACATTGGACCCTCACCTGCCCTCTGGAACTCTCAGACAACCAGGTTCTGTTCCCTTCTGCAGATGAGGAGACAACTCAGCCGAGGGTAGGGGTCTCTACTGGCCCAGGTCTTTCCCTTGGCCTGAAAGTTCTCAAGCCCAGCTTCCCCCAGCTGCTCCAGGGAGGGAGGTATGTTCCCCACGCCCTACACCGCGAGGCCTGTCTCAGTAGGCTTCACGGGGCTCAGATCTGAAAAGCATCCCAGGCAATAGGGACAGGACCCTGGTTGGGATCTCAGCTGAGACCCCAGGGAGCCTCCCCTCTTCCTTTCAGTGTACTGAACCCAGGGACCCAGTCTCGGAACTCTCTTTGAAGGCCTGGTCTTGTCCCCTTCTAATGGGTCAGCTGCTTCCCTGGCCTGACTACATCAAAGTGCTGGGAACTGTGCCTCATCTGCCATCTCCATCCTGGTCGTCCTCGTCCTCTTCCTCTCTTCTATTGCTCCACCAGGCTTTGATGTTTCCATGGCCACAGACCTCAGGTTCTGAGCAACTTCCTGGACTTTATTCTCAGAGGCTCTTGGCAGCCAAGGGTCAGGGAGGAGCAGGAACTGCATAGGGTACATGATGTGAGGGGGACAGAGCCCAAGTGACAAGGCCAGCTTCTCCATTTGCCCCTGGCAGCTCCTTCCTGATACAGAGGGCAGAGCCTGGCAGGAGGCCACCAAGCCAAGATGGCCAGACTGATGCTAGCTCGGGTCACCTGACTACAAGATGGGTGGGAGGTGATTTGTGCTGAGGCAAAGCAGGACACAGCCTGGCTCCTCCTGCACACCAAGAAACCCTGATTCAGGGGAGTGTGGTCCAAATCCAACTAGGGCAAATAGTTCATGAGACTGTATCTCAAAAAATACTCAACACAAAGAAAAGGGTTGGGAGTGTGGCTCAATTGTAGAGTGACCGCCTAGCAAGCATGAGGCTCTGAGTTCAAACCTCAGTACCATCAAAAAATAAATAAATAACAAAAAGAAACCCTTGATCCCCAACCCTAAACAAATGTTAGTTTCTGGCAAGCCCAGGATTCTTTTTTGGAAATTTGAGATAGCCAGCCAGTGGCTGAGGGTCTTGTGTTTGTGCATGTGTGCACACGTGTGTGCAGGTATATGTACGTGTGCGTGTGCACGCATGTGTGCTCACTGTCTATGCGTAGAAGTTCGTGTATGCCTGTATGTATAAGTGTTCAGGGGTGTGTGTGTGTCCATGTGTGCGTGTGCCAGTGTGCAGTGTGTGCCTTTGTGTGTATGTCAGACTCCAGGCTCAGGTTCAAGCAGCAGTGGTTTTTGTGACACTGTGTTCTGGGATTCTTGACTTCTCTCCTCCAGATCACAGGATAGCTGGGCTCCAAAACCCAGTGAACATTACACAGATTTTGTGCCATTTGTGAAAAACACAAAGGGCAAAGACCAGTATTTATGGTTTTCAGAGGTTACCAAATATCTCCTCACCCGTTTTCTCTCTTGATCATTACAACCTTTAGTATTCGTTGCTTTGTTTATAGTTGAAGAAACTGTACCTTTTTTTTTTTTTTTTTTTGGCAAATGTTTTGTAATTGTGGTAAAGTGTATCGTTTTGTGGTAAAATTATACATTTTGAAGTATACAATTCAGTGGTATTTCATACATTCAGAGTGTTACACAACCATCACCACCATCCAGTTCCAGAACATTTTCATCACCCCAAAAAAACCCCACGCCCACTAATCAGTCGCTCCCCATTCCTTTCTCCGCCCTGCCCCTGGCCGCCGAGGCTCTGCTCCTGTCCACGTGGCTTTGTGTGTTCTGGAAATTTCAAACAAAAGGAACCATATAGCTCGTGGTCTTTTGTGTCTGGCTTCTTTCACTAGGCCTAGTGTTTCCAAGACTTGTCCGTGTCCTGCTGTGTCAGAACTCCATGGAGTTTTGTGGTTGATGATACTGTGCTGTATACATGTGGTGTCAAGCTTTCCCCTGAGGCTACAGGGGAAGTAGGTGGCAGGAGGTCACCCAGGTCGGGGCCTGGTGTCCTCCTGCCACACCCTATCTCTTGGTTCTTCTGCTCGGCCCCTGAGGTGGTGGTGGGGCAGCACACACTTGGAAAGTCCCAAGCTCCAGGCAGGCTTGTCAGGGGAGGACAGCCCTGGCACACTTGAGTGGGCCTGAGGACTGAGAAGGAGTTTCTCAGAGCTCGTCAAGGAAGTCAGGGAGGAGCTTCATGGAACTCGCTCTGACTATCTCAGGCCATAATGGACGTGGTCAATTCCCCAGGGGCTTCCGTGCCAGGCCTGAGGCTTTAGTGCTGTCCTGCACTTAGGCAATTCATCCCCAGGACTCCAGGAGGAGGCGAGCACAGAGGAGGCCCCTCGTGCAGCTGCCTAAACTGAAACTCCCCAAGGCCAGCTACACAGCACCCCAGAGGCTCTGGCATCCAAGCCCTAGTCCCCAAGTGGTGCAGGTCCTCCATGGTGTCACCAGCCCAGAAACTTGGCACAGAGACACAGAATAACGTGCTCACAGATCACACACCAGAGGCAGGGTTCATGCTGGGGCTTGGTCTGGCCTGGCCTGGCCTCTTTGTCTCCTTCCTTTGCTGGGAATTGGAGATGAAGCACCACCCACCTCCAGCTCACAAACAGCAGCTGTGATAATTGAGCAAGGTGACAAGTATGACCACCTAAAGAAATCCAAAAATGCCAGATACGTCCAGTCAGGCAGGCATCCTGTCACAGGGCACATTTGTAAACTTGGTCCCTAGGGAAGGTGTGTCTATAGGAGTCACGGTGCTGACCCCAGCTCTGTGCTGGTTCCTATGTGTCCCTAGCTGAGCGCATGTCCTCTGGGCTTGGCACCTTCACTGCAAAGAGGGAATTCGGAGGAAGGGCATCCTTAGAGCCAGTCCTGCCCCAGTCTGGTGCTGCAGTGAGCTGGCCCAGTGGGTACACTGCTGCAAAGCCATTAATGGCCCTATTTTCCCTTGTTTGAAGAGACACCTGTCACCTGAGGAGTTCCAGGAAGTGTTTGGTATGAGCATCGAAGAGTTTGACCGCCTGGCTTTGTGGAAGAGGAACGACCTCAAGAAGAAAGCCCTGCTGTTCTGATGGCAGCAAGCCTGGCACAAGGCAGAGCCAAGGGACTCTGAGCACTGCCAAGCCCTTCCTGCACCTCGCCCTGGCTTGTCCGTGTCAGTGGGGCAGGTGGGGCGCTTGGGGGAGGCAGATAAGCTGGCGGGAGGAGGCCCCCAGCAGGTGCGGCCCATTTGTGCCAGTGACGCTCCCATCTGTAGTTTAGGGCCACAGCGACAGCTAGACCCACTCCTTCCCGCTCCGGCTTGACATGGGACAATGCAGCAGCCAGCTGTCACAGAAGACGCTTCTGAACATCCAGATGGCCACAACATCTTCTGCATTCCTGGAGTGCCCTGGCCCCTGTGCTGTACACTTGGGTTTGGCGGTGGCCAGGACATGGGTAGAGAGGTGGCATATGCTGAGTACATAAACCAGCATGCAGCTCCTCAGAGCTGGCAGGGCACAGCCTGGCGGGCAGGCTCACAGGCTGGGGCAGGAGAGCCAGCCTAGGTCTGGGTGCAGTGTCAAGTGTGGGGGCCATAAGTTTTTGCAGCTGTCCGTGACAGGTCTCTTTTTCAGGCCTTATGTCAACCTGACAGGATGCCCCTGCCAGTGCTCTGTGCACTGCTCCCTCCTTCCAAATCACCCCCTAGATGCCTAAAAAATATCTTTCAAGTAACACAGAAGTTTTTATTTTATTAAAAAGTATAGCTTCCTTACACATAAGACGACATATATGCAGAGTTTAGTTTTACGGCCCCTCTGAAGGGGAGCGCCTCCGCCTTACACCCCACTGTGCAGGTCTCTGTGCTTCCGGCCCCCCTCCTTCCCCTTTGTCGTTTTCCCTTAATATGTGTCACACAGACCACTTTGAAGACAGTCCCCTCTGAGTAACGCTGTTTGTAAATACGCGTGAATCGTAGCCACCAGTTCCCTGGCTGTTATGTTTCCAAGTCTCGGAGAGAAAGCCCACCCCAATGGCCAAAGCCCTGGAATAAAGGTGTCCCCACAGTGGCCTGGTTCCCTGTGGCTTCCCAAGTGCCATGTGGCCTGTGTTGCTCACCTTATCCACTGAGATGTAAGCCCCACACGCCAGGGACGGGGCACTAATGCATGTCCCCGACACAGACACCAAACATTTGAGAAGAACAGAGACACTGCCTCTTGCAATCAAGCAATCAGGAGTGGGAGGCTGGCTGACCGGGCTCCCAGTGACGGGCATGCATGTCTGTAGTGATGGGTGGGTAAGGTGTGCAGCCATTGCAGGGTGCTGACCGAGTGCCCTGGGGATGAACACTGAAGCTACTTTCCCCGCCCTCCGTGTACCTTGGATGTCGCCACCACAAGTCATCTTTACTCAGCTTCCTCACGCCCCAGAACACACCAAGACCTGTTTGGCACTCGGCTTCTCACGAGTCTGACTGGGCCGTTGGGGGCTGGGGGGGACTTTTGGCACCTAACATGCTTCCTGCCACTTAGCAATCCAAGCTGAGCAACTGGAAACCCCCATTTCCTCATTCGAGCGCTGTCATGTCTGATCCCTGGGAAAATAAAAGGCAACGCAGTGTAACTTGTGAAAGGACAAAGCCACTTTTCTGAGTGTGTGTGGTTTCTGAAGGCCCTGGGCAGTTCTGCAAACAGTGCTTGGGGCAGCCACAGGTGGGTACATGGGGCAGGACAGGACCCGGAGAGGGACAACCCACCACCCAGAGGCTGTGACGAGGGTTGGAACCTCGACTTGCTCATAGCAATCCTCAGCCCTTTGGGTGGGCACCGGTGACGAGTGAGACCTGGCATCTGCCTGCCCCATGTCAGAGTAAGGAGACAGACCAACAAACAGACCTTGGCCAAGATGGACCTCTGCTCCATAGAGAAGGCCCAAGGGGTCCCCAATATGTCCCCAAAGTTGGGGGATGCTTTCTAGAGAAAGTGCTGCCCAAACTCAGTCCTGACAAAGGACTGTGATTGGAAAGCATCTCAGGCAGGTAGAACTGAAGCTGGGAACACTCTTGCAGGTTCTGGGAGCTTTGGTGGCTGGTTATGGCTGAGCATAGGGCTGGGGCAAAGGCCAGAAGAGAACAGAATGCAGGCAGAGGTCCCACTGGGGAGGGCATATGCCATCCTGAGGTTAAATGGCTCGTAATCTTTAATCTTATGCCAATGACATTAACGATTCTTGTACATTTTGGGTTTCCCCCCAAAGCCTGTCCAACACATAACCTACCCTCCTTAGTAAACAGCACCACTGTGTACCCAGTGACTCAAGCTGCAAGCGGCATGTTCTCCTCCATCCTTTCCCCTGGCGAGTCCTGGTCACTCCGCCTCCCGAGCACCATCTGCTTCTCTCCATGTGCACAGTCGCCTCCACAGAGCCATCCCACACCGGGACACTCTGAGTGCGGAAGGTGACCCTAGGTGGAGGTGCTCACATTCCTGTCCTGGGCAGAGCAGGACATGTGGTCCAGGTTATTTCACCTGTCACACAGCTGACCCCATTCCCACCCTTCAGGCAAGTCATTTCCCACCCTACAGCCCGAGAGGTGCCCCAAAACATCCACCTACTCACGCCAAGCTCTGAGTGAGCCAGGCCAACTGCACCTTTGCTATGTTCCTAAAAGTGTCCTCCCACTTTCTCCCTCCCAGCATGTCCCGCTCTTCTCAGGTCAACGCAGAAATCCCTCCTCCAAGGCCCACTGCTGACTCGAAGCCCCCAGCCTTCTCAGAATTCCTCACGGCGCCTTCCTCGGGCCTCCTGTGTGGTAATGGGCCTTGTCTTTATTGGCTCATTTTTCCTTCACCCAACTCTAAGCCTGTGAGGGTGGACATGCGTATCCCTAGTGTACTGGGAATCCCCTACGTGTTTTATAGCAAGGCCAGCACCCATCCAGATCCCTGGCCTACCCCAAAGTGTCTCAAGGTGTAGAGCTTCTAGACCAGTGCCGCCCAGTTTCACTTTCTGCGATGAAGGGAATGTTGTAGATTCATGTCTCTGACACTGCATCCACCAGTGCGACTGAGTTTTAAATTTCAATGCGTGTACATTAAGTAGCCATGGGTGGCTAGTGGCAGGGCACAGGAGACGACTTCACAGGAGCCCTGGGGTCTGTCATTCCCATCTAGAGTACAGGATATATGAGCACAGCTGCCGAGCACCTTGTGCCTGGCCCTGCCCTGGGTGTGGGGACATGTGGCGAGTCCCATTCCCCCAGAGCTCGTGAATCTGCCTTCTGAACTCTTCCCCCCACACTGGTTTTCCTCTGCCCTCACACACAACAGTCGGCACAACTGACTCTGACCTCTGGTCATCAAGAAGTGTGTTGAGGAACCTATGGCACCAGGGAACCCTAACGCAATTCAACTATGCACTCTCTACCTGGGGACAGTGTCAGATCCCACAGGCTGAGTGCTTTGTCCTCACACCCCACCCAAACCCACACGCACCGCTTCAGATCCCATTGGCTTTCCCTGTGCTCCTGACTGTCCAGTCGTAAATCGGGTTCCCACAACCCCCTCTACGGGGTTGATTGATCTGCTTGGGAAACTTGCAGAACTTTGGGATGCACTATGTTTACAGGTTTATCATAAAGGGTATTACCAAGGATACAGATGAGGAGAGATAGGGCGAAGTGTATGGGGAGGGTGCCACCCTCTGGGAACCTCCCCATGTTCTGCTGTCCGGAACCTCCCAGACCCTGTCCTTTTGGGCTTATGAGTTCCGCTACCTAGGCATGACTGATGGCATCACTGACCATGAGTGATCACCTCAGCCTTTTGTAGCAGCCTCCCCTCCTCAGAGGCAGGGGTATGGGGAAAGTTCCAACTCCTAATCTTGCCTTGGTCTTTCCTGTGGCCAGCTCCCATCCTGAAGCTGGCTAGTGGCTTCCAGCCATCTGTCAGTTCATTAGCCTAGAAAAAAAAAATCACTTTGGAAATTCCAAGGATTTTAGGAGTTGTGTGCCAGGAAACAGACAAGACTGAATGTATATTTCACAATATCACACTCATCTATCCCCAAGATCCAAGGCCAAGTTTGGCTCTGTCTTCCTTGTCATGTTTGCCATGGCACTTACTTTCCTGAGACAGCACCAGCAAGAGCTTGTGTCTGGATCCCCCAGGACAAATGGAAGCCACCAGGGTCTCCTTCCTGTCCCTCTCCCCAGTGGAGCTGTGCACTGCCCACTATTTAAGCCCCAAAGCAGAGCTTCTGAACCCACTGAGCCTGGAAATCCATGGCTGGTCTTAGTGTTTGACTCAGAAGTGACACATGTCAGGCTCATCCCAGCTACTCACGAGGTGTTGGTAGAAGGATTGAGGTCTGAGCCCTACCCCTGGCAAAGTCATGAGGCCCTATCTGAAAACTAAAAAAGGAAGTGACACGTTGCCTTTTGTCGCAGTCCATTGGTCATGACTGGTCACATGTTCTTCCCACAACTGCAGAGAGGTCCAGGAAGCATGAGGATTGTGTCCAAGAAGGGGAGAGGGCTAGAGCCACAGAAAAACATGGCTGATTCCATATCTGAGGCTATACACAGTCTCTGCTTCCTCGGGCCCACCCCAGTGTATCCAGTGGCTTTTCCTATGAATTCCTCAGCAGCTCTGGCTACCAACCTCTTCAGGCCAGCCATCTACTCAGTCCTCCATGAGAACCTGCCCACTGGCCGGCATAGGTCACCAGCTCTCCAAGTCCCTGCCACATGTAGCACCCCTTCTGGAGGGTTTTCACTCACAAGCAACATGTTCTTATCACAGCTTGCTGTCCACAGCACAGGTGATGGGACAAGAATGGCCCCTAGGTCATCTACAGAGATGACCCCCCCCACACCCCAGTGGCCTGGTGCAACCATAGAGATATTTAGTTCTACATGAAGATCCATCTACTAGGCAGAAAACACCAGGGAGTGGGCAAGAGCAAGGGGCACCCAGGCCAAAGCCATGAGCAGCAGAGGCAATGGGAAGAGAGAAGGAAGTGGGAGAAGGAGGAGGGGAGCAGGAACAGCTGGAGCTGGAGGAGCCAACCTGCAAGCCAGGCAGACATCCTGGGTACTTGGCCTGTCATGTGCTCTGTACAAAAGCCCACCTGGCTCCCTGCAGCTTGTGAACCAGAGACAGTTCAGTGCACCCATCCCCAAACCCAAGGCAGAGTTTTGGGAACCACCAAGCTGGAAGATACTGCCCAGTGCGTTTTAGATTCCAACAGTCTTCAAGGATGGTTCACCCATCCTCGCCCCAAACCTGGACCTAATCCCACCAGGGTGGAAGTCAGTGAAGCCCGCCTGTAAGGCCACGTAAGGGTGGGTCTCCAGACTCAGAACCTGCCTGGACCCAGTCACAGTGGGAGACAGAAGAGAGCCATCCAATCCAACAGACTTCTGTGATGCATCCTCTTGGCCCAGAGGAACTCCAGCCTTCTAGAAGAGGAAACTGAGGCCCAGAGAGAGGCCTGATCTAACATGTCGAGGATCACTAAACCGTAGGTGTCAGGCTGAAGACGCACGCCCACACTCTGGGTTTTGATAGGGCACCTCACCTTGCCTGTGTTTGCCTGAAGCAGCCCTGCCCAGGAGGAGGCGAAGAGCCTGGCCTGCAGTCATCCTCTGGCCCCCTCTGGCTGCAGGTCTCCCTATCAGCTTGGCAGAGAAACCCCTCATGTGCCTGGAGGAGCAGGTGGGCCACTGGAGTATGGGTGTGGAAGTGCCCTGAGCTGCCTCCTCCCACACACACAAGAAGATCCTGTCCCCTCCTGTTCCCCCCCCACCACACCACCATAGGTCACCTGGTGGGAGGCTGGATTCCCAGCTCATATGGGGTCACTGAGCACTGTGTTAGTGACATTAGCTGTGTCTTGGATGGTAGAGAATGGTACTCCTGCCAGGAAGTCCTGGCCACGGGGACCTGAGGCTGCAGGCTGCTTCCTGTCACCTTAGTTCTTATAGACCCCAGACAGCCCCAGCCCCAGAGGACAGAGCATCTCTGACACCTACAGTCACGCCTCTGTGCAGTGGGCTTCCTCTTGGCCTTAATCCCAATGGCATCCCTCCCTCCCTCCCTTCAAAGTCACCATCACAACCTCCATTCTGAGCTTCCGGTCCCCCCATCCCATAGTTTGGGATACTATGGGCAGCTCTGCTCCCTGCTATGGTCTGTACAGCTCCCCTCTCCTAGTCCCCAGAGGGAACCCAGAAATCAAGTGGGTTTGTGCAAGTTGCATGGGTTACATACAGCTGCATCGTTCCAGCTAGTCCTCTCCTCCCAAACCCCCACGTCCAGAGTGAACAGAAGCCTGTTGCTGGGCGAGTGGCCAGGCAGGGCTGATGGAGTCAGCGAGGGTTCTGGGGGAGATGCTGCCAGGTGCAGTGCCTGGGTCACAGAGCTGGGAGGTGTCCCCAGTACAGAAGCACTTCTGACAAATGGAACAGGAAAAGAGCAGGGCTTTCCTGGGTGCCGTTAGAGGCACCAGGCCCATGGCTGAGCTTGGTTTGGGGATGACGAAGGTTGCCTGAGCCCTGGGCTGAACACCATGCTCTCACTCCATAGCAGGCCTGCCTCCCGCTAGTCGGCCTTCCCAACACACCTGGGTATCTCTCCATCGCCAGACACCTGTGTGCATCACTCCTGCAGAGCACAGCCATCTGTCTCAAATGCAAACTGATGAGCCCTGGGGACCTCTGTACACTCCTTCATGACCATCTCCTGCCCCTGTCTCTCCCTCCAGCCTCTTTTTTACTGCTCCCCTCTGTGCCCCAGCTTCGTCTCAATTCCCTCTCAAACACTGCATCCTGTGCAAAAGCTGCCCCACGCCCCATCTGGCAAACTCCTATTCATCCTTCAATACCCAGCTGAGACGTCTTCTTTTCTGCAAAGACTTTCATGATACACCTCCTTCTTCCCCAGCTGTTACGCCCAAATAATCCAGTTCCTCAACA